TCATATACCGACGATAATTCTAAAGAAAAAAATCTCAAGAAAGATTAACTTTCATAAAAAATTTCTGTATTTTTTTTTGTAAAATTTTTCCGTATAAATTTAGAAGGAATATGTTAAGATTATATTTTACTGAAATTTAATAAACTTGTCTATGATTGTTAACGTTTTTATAAAATTATGAATAAACATTTCAAAAGGAAATAAGATAGTAAGACTAATTATTTTTCTGAAATTTAATAAACCCTTTTTTATGCGATTTTCGGTATATTGTAACTCATTGATNACGTATCCTTTATTTTTATACGTGTGTCTAGTCCTTTTTTGTGCAATTTATTTTCCTGTGGAACGTATCTACCGCATAAAAAGAGAACCAAGTGTATTTAATTCATTGCTATAGAGATATTTCCATAGCAACTAACTTAATAAAAATAAACCAAATTAAAAAAGTCAACATATCTTATTTTCAGCAAAATTATGGTTAAATAAACAAAAGAAAAAAGTATTTTTGGAAAATTTATAAAATATTTACAAAGAAAATTCTATCTCAATGTTACAGATGTGCTTGACGAGTAATTAACTTTAGCCCGAATTACAGTGAGGTGCCGCCAATCGCGAAGGCCGTGCGACCGTTTTCGTCGTTCACCCAAATATCTAATTTCTATTTAGTCTTGTATATATATATTTATTTTTTTTTTGAGTGTGTTCGAAAATCCGCCGAAGTCCAAGGACGAACAATATTTATATATCGGGCCAGACGCGCCGGACACCTAGGTTGACATAAATTTAAAAAAACAATCGAGCGGGAAATTCAAATATTGACATAATTTGTTTCCATAGCAACTTTGATAAATTACGCATTTTTACAGACAGAATACTTTCAAGGCCATTTTGTTTAATTTTTTTAATCCATTACAGACAGACTTTTCTTTCTAAGCTACTTTGATTTTATATTTCGTTACTCGTAAAAACGCGCGGGAAATTCGAAAATTGCTTTCGTTTTACGTAACGAATGCGGGAATTTGCGCGCGATGACCGAGACGGAGAGTCGAATGCAAAAAGGCGAGTTACGCAACATTGGCACGCGAACTTCCTTCGTCCGTACGTTATTTTCGCACCGATGCGACGACGACGTCGACCACACGTCAGCATCGTCAGGTTTTTCCTTCGGGAATTTTCATTGCCGCGACGGACGCGAAACGAAAGAAGAGAACCGACAAAAAAAAAACGTAAATCACGAAACAAATGATAAGCGTCTCCGCACGTTCGTATAAATAAAGCATCATTGAGTCTATTTCCGGACAGCTTTCATTCAATTCTCATCGTTGATCTCATCCACAATATTACCACTTATATAAATAAATTTGAAAAAAAAAAATTTTTTTTTTTTGAAATTTCCATTAATTCAACTTTAGTAAAACACAAAAAAATCCATCATAATAAAACGTTTTTGAATCATCAAATGCTTTGAGATATTATTAGATCAATAAAAAAATTGACGTAACCTCAACAGAAAAAAAATGGCGGCAAAACAAAATGGTAACGCTACTTTTATGACATTTTAATGTACATTCTATAGATTTTCATAAATTTCTTTAAACCTATGTCTAGGTAGACTTAATATTGAAAACGCATTTTAAAGCTAAAACTATCAGATTGAATAATTTTGAATAATTCCATGATAAATTTGCAAAAAAAAAAACAAACAAATACATAAAGACAAGAGTGAAAAATAGTCGCAGTTGCTTCGATTTAATATTAATCACGTGTATCGCAACGATCTATTTTTATAAGCTCGAATTAAAATCCGTGGGCGATACATGAAAAGTGTTGTGCTCCAAGAAGAAAATACACGCTCCTTCTTCTACGTCAAGAAAAAAAAAACACTTCATATGCGTTGCACATTAATTTTCCATCAGATTCCTTTACAATCAACAAATCAAGAAGATCGTAAAACATGAAAATTATGAAAGATCAAATCTTGAAAACATCAATTTTTGATACAAACATAACAAAAATATAATTAGTTAAGTATATAAACATGTATAGTTTACGACTGAGACAGTTTTTAAAGTTATGGCATTTTTCCAATTGTCTTCAGCGTCTATCAAAGAAATAACTTATGGGAATTCCGAGCAAAACGATAAATCACTTTCAAAATAATGCTTTGATGCTTCCGATTAGAATTCCAAGAGAATGCAGAGTTTCGAACTAATAAAATCGAAACTATTTATAAGTTAAACTAGGTTTATGCAGTTCGCAATTTTTTTTTTCGGAGAATTGAAGGAAATTAATCGTGCACAGGAAATACCCAATACCACTTTTATGTGCACAATAAAAACAGTTCTGACCAAAACTTCCGTATCTTTCATCGATGATTTATGAAACTATAAACTTTCGAGTTCAATATTCTTATTTCATTTGTAAAATGTTGAAAGTTAATTATATTAAGAAAATGTATTGATTTCACTTTTTTTCAAAATATTTATTTCCTTGGAAGTTTTCACCGAGGAAAATGTCTGTTTTCTATTTAGTTGTAAGCATGCGGTAAACAAGAAATATCTTTCACTTTATTTACGTTAAAAAAACTCTCGCGGAACGCAAATATTTATTGAATATAGTAAATAATAAGTAAAGTATGCGATGTGCGTTTCGATACTGTTAAAAAGAATCTGCGTGGAATGATGTGCTAACAATCTGAAAATTAGTTAACAAAATATTACATAATAACTTTTCAAAATAAAAACAGACATTTTCCATTTTTGGCCAACGACCGCAAAGATATTCATGTTTCTTACCAACAACAAAAACAAAACAAAAATCCTAAAATTGACGTCTGACAACGTCAAAAAAACGTGACGTATATAAGTGACATATTTAACTTCTTACCTTTCTTCACCGATTCCATCGCAGCAACAATCAATTTCTGATTGACTCCGCACAGATTTGCCGTCAACTTTTCGCATTTCTTGTGACAGTTAACGTCGCAGTCTGCGTTGTGGACGATCGCAAAACAAAAGAGAGAAAAAACAAAACATATCGATGTAAAACAATGGTGGAGGGAAACAAACGCCGTTCGCCAGAAAGTAACAAGTGAATATCGCGCTTTTCAAATATTTTGCGGTGAAACAACCGAAAATAAATATGTTCATCATCAACATTCCGATTCTTCGTGTCACGTTGACCAAAGTTCGTCGATCCCCTTTCTACCGTATCAAAATACGCGCGAAAAGAAATGTAAATTAAGAAATACCATAAAGAGAAAAAGCTCAGGCAAAGTTAGTACAGCAAAAGAAAACCAAACAAAAAAAAAATCAAAAGATGGATCGGAATGCGTCAACTAAAGAGAATCGTAAATAAGAATAAAATAAAGGTTATTTTGTTGTGTGATGAAAAATAGCGAGAAAGAGAAGAGAGAGCGCCCGCTTAAGCAAAAAAGAAATAAATTCTAACCCTTATTTTTTCGGTTGCCTAATGAGGATGAGTGAAACCCTGAATCGTCCGAGGACGTACTTGCTCCGACTTTTCGGTAACCCCAGACGTCGTTCAGCTCTTCGTAGTCGACTGACTCCTCGGAATCTTCATCATCATCATCATCTTCATCATCATCTTCTTCATCATCATCATCAGTCTCTTCCTCCTCAGACGTAGTCTCTTCCTCCTCATCATCATCTTCTTCGTCTTCTTCAACGTTTGCTTCGGATGATTTAGCAGCTTCCACTTTGGCCTCTTCCTGAGCTAGCATCGCGCTAGGACCTCGAGGACGCGGATAGTGTCTGTGTCTGATCGTCTTCGGTCTGGCGAAGATCTGCACCGGACACTCGTCGAACTGCTCGGGTTTCTTGAAGGGATGCATCCACGCGGACAGACGGTTCGATTGGAGAGGAACGAATTTCGGCGGTGAGGGTTCTTTGATGACGGGAGGTGGAGGGGTCGGTTCTTTGGGAACGACGAACACTTCCAAATCGGGATCTTGGACACCGGATTTATTGACCAACGATCTTTTCGACATCAATTTCTTCGCCCTCGCAGCATCGCTCTCCTCGTCCTCCTTCGTACCATCATCTTCGGTCTTCTCCACTGGAGCTTCTTCAGATTTCGCCTTCTTCAACTCTTTAGGTTCCTTCAACTTGCTCGCAGTTTCTTCAGACTTCTCTTTTCTCAGTTTACCCACCTTCAAATTCTTTACCTTTTCTTCATTAACTTTATCTTCACCTTCCACCTTCTTAGCTTTCACCCCAACATTTTTCAACTCTTTTGATCTATCACTTTTATCATCACCGACTTTAACATCTTCAATTTCATCCAATCTCTTAGTTTTCAGCCCAACATTCTTCAATTTCGGAACATCACTTTTATCCTTTTTACTATCTCCTAATTTAACATCTTCAACAGGGTTACCCTTCTCCTCAGTTTCTACTTTCTTAGTTTTAATTCCAATATTCTTCAACTTAGTCTCCACTTTCTGAACATCACTAGTATCCTTTTTACTATCTTCCTCAGCAGGCTTAGCCTTCGCCTCATTTTCAATTTTCTTCGATTTAATCCCTACATTTCTCAACTTATTCTCCATCACTTCCTCTTTCGGAATATCACTTTCAATCTTCTTACTACCTCCTAATTTTACGTCCTCACCAGGATTACCCTTTTCTTCACTTTCCAATTTCTTAGATTTTATCCCAACATTTTTCGAAATATCACTTTTATCCTTTTTACTATCTCCCAGTTTATCAACTACAACCTCCTCTTTCTTCAATTCTGCTTCTTCTTTCTTCAATTTACCATCACCACTTTTAAGCACTGAATCCTTCTTCACATTACCAACGGGATTACCCTTTTCCTCGCTCTTAGCCTTAATCTTATCATCATCAAACTTAATTTTCGGAGCTTCTTCAGATTTAGATTTAAAAAACGCCGGTTTCACCTCCAACTGCTTTCTGTCTTCCCTATCTTCCTCCTCCTCTCGTATGAGACTTGCCTTCCTTTGCTCCTGCAAATTCTGCCTTCTACGATCCAAATAAACGCTCTCCCTAGTCCCAATCCTCTCCCAAAAGTTCTCACCACTTTTATTCTCCTCTTTAGGAGCTAATTTCGGAGCCACACTTGGAGTCTTCGACAACTCTCGAGACTTTGAAGAATCAATCACAGATTCAATCTCCTTATTTGATACAACAGTTGATGATTCACTTTTAGATTTAGTTACCTTTTCATCTAATTTACTTGCACCAGTACATTCTTCTTTTGGTTTTGGTGCAGGTGAACTCAACTTCAATTTAGGTGTAGTTGGAGTTTTCGGTGATTCCTTTTCATCAACCTTTTTCACATTTGCAATATCTTCCAAAGGTTTTGGTTTAAATCTAGGTATCTTTGCTATTTCGTCTTTAATTTTATCATCAACTTTACTCAATTTTGCAACATCTTCTAAAGGTTTTGCCACTGGTGAATCCAATTTCAATTTAGGAGTAATTGGAGTAATTGAAACTTTATCATCAAACTTATTCAATTCTGCAACATCTTCTAAAGGTTTTGGTGTAGGTGAACCCAATTTCAGTTTAGTCGTTTTTACCACTTCGTCAGAAACCTTATCATCCACTTTACTCAATTTTCCCGCTTCTTCCTTCAATGGTTTGAATTTAGGTATTTTAGCTAATTCCTCGATAACCTTATCATCGACTTTACTCAATTTCGCAACATCTTCCAAAGGTTTTCCCACAGGCGAATCCAATTTGAATTTAGGTGTTTTCGGTGACTCGTTTACCACCTTAGCATCAACTTTATTCAATTTGGAAACAACTTCTAATGAATCCAATTTAAATTTAGTTGTAGTTGGTGTTTTCGGTGACTCGTTTGCAACACTTTCATCAACTTTAATTAATTTCGGAACATCTGCTAAAGGCTTCGGTGAACCCAGTTTAAATTTAGATGTTTTTGGCACCTCCTCAGAAACCTTATCATTGACTTTACCCAATTTTCCAACATCCGCCAAAGATTTCGGTTTGAATTTCGGTATTTTTTGCAATTCCTCCGAATCAACCTGCATCTTCTTCACCTTATCACTTTTCAAATCGGAATTCGCACTCTCATCGATCCTAATCACTTTACGAACTTCATCGGGAGTTCTCGGAGCGTCGAAGAGGGACCCCGAAGCCGTTCTGGAAGTCTTCAGAATCGACTTTCTCGGTACAGATTTCTCTTCAACTTTACTCAAATTTGAAGTCAAAGAATTGGCGCTCGAGGATTTAGCTAAAACTTCGTCTTTAGCTTCAACGACAGCCCTTTGCTTAACCAATTTAGGTTTATCTTCGAGGATCTGCGCCATGTGGGCTTCGTTCAATTGCAAGGGTATTTTATTGTTTATAACTTCTTTCGGTGAAGCGTTTTGAATCGTCCCATTGGTTTGCTCTTCCGGGATAAGTTTGCTTTTCGTTGGTTGCTGTTCCTCGTCTTCGACTTCCTCGACTACCACGTTGTACTTGAACTTCTTGGGAGGTTTTTTGTTGGGATTGGGTGATTCCACAATCTCCACGTCGTCAATGACCGCTTTCAATATAGAAGTTTGCTCCACGTCTACTGTGGCGGTAAAAATTGGTTTCGGTTTAGCTCTGATCTCCTCGACTTCAACCTGCGAGATATCCCTGATGGCTTCTTGATAAGCCTTTTCGGTGTCTTCATCCATCAAGCTGCTATCAGTGGAAGTCCTTCTAATCTTCCTTTGGGGTCTACGTTGTAAAGAAGACTTCGGCTCAGGCTCTAAAATCAACTCCGCTGTCTTCTTTTTAGTTACGCGTTTCTTGCGTTTCAAACTACCCTTACGCTCCGGCGTCGAAGTGTTGTTGTTCTCGTCTTGCTGCTGCTGCTCCTTCATGATGTCGTCGAGGACGCTTTCGTTGGATATAATTAGTTCATCGTTGCTGAACTGCTTGCTCTGTCTTCGGACTATCTCCGGGGGTTGACCCGGATTTAAGTCCTCGTTGATGGTGTCCGAGGAGATGACTCTGCAGATCTGATGGAATTGATTTTTAGAAGGTCTTTTGATGGTTGGGCGACGGTTCAACTTGTTTAAGGTATCATCTTTGGTGCGTATCAAGAATTTGTCGACTAGCAATTCACCTGGCGTCTTCTTCGGCGGTCTGTCTTCGGGTTTGAGTTCGTCGGCGTAGAAGTTCTGACGCCAACTTCTTGGTGTATCTGCGCTTGGAGTCGTCGTCGTCGTTAAATTCTTCCTAGGGCTATCTTTCTTGTGGATCGTGTGCAAACGCACCAAGGCTCGATCCCTTCTTATCGGTTTATTGTCGGATTCCTCTTTGATCTCGATTTTCGGGCTGGGACTCTTCGATTTCTCCGGACTGGCCTTCTTGATTTCCGCGTTCTTCCTATCGTATTTCCTGTACTTGTTCACGGACACGTCGATGTCGGCGGTGTTGATCTTTATCGGTTTCGGTACTTTGAACTTGGGCGAGGCGTGATGCTGCAGCATCAGCTTCGGCGAGTACTTCCTTCTGAGCGGCGTTATCCCTTGGCTTTCGCTGATCGTCGACAGATGGGGCGTGTATCCTCTGGCGAAGGTCCTCGGCAGCGCCTTCACGTAGATCGGTGATCTGTAGTTGGAAGAGCCTGAGGAGGAGGAAAGGAAGGAGGAATGATTGGAGTACGGACCGGAGAGGTACAAACTGGAGTACGAGGTCGAAGGGCTGCCGTACAGGCTCAGATCCGAGTACAGAGGCATCGCGTGTCGTTTATTTCGGATTCACTTTGAATGCCAAGTAAATTTATATATTTATATGTACGGAATAGAGATAGATAGAGAGACTTGTGTAGATGCGAGAGTGAGTGTGCGTGCGTGCCTACAATATCAGAATATAATCACCTGTCTTTATTTTTAGTCTTACACCAGCACCAAACACCACTGACACGCTGAGCGTTTACATATTTTTCGCACTGACAATAACAAAAACAAATTGACAGCAACCTACTCGATCGATCGATCCGTAACGATTTACCACGCGTCTATTGGTCGACTTTTGTTTACGCTTACGCAACAAAGTCTGAATCACACCGAACCGAAAGGGCTCAAGTCGAATTTACAGGAACGAAAAATTTGAAAAAAAAAATAATTATACGAAAAAAAAAAATAATCGACGATCGATTCAGTCGGATCAAGAGTGGCCGTGCCGCGCCAATGAAGTCAGAATGTGTACTGGCGGATTTTTCGACGCCTTTGCCAAACAATCCTATTTTTACCAAAACGTCGTGTGACGTTACACCGCACGGCCAGAGGAGAGAGAGAGAGGAACCACTCACGTTCCGTTTCGAAGGAAGAGGTTTTATTGGACAATCCGACACACCTGTAACTTATCTTCCATCAACATACCAATCAGCAAATCTTGCATCAATCCATAATTTTAACATCAATGTTCACTTAACGTACACCTAAACGACGT